GTTACCCCCTGTTCTCTACTCTCAGATTTGGTACAGTAGGGGCAAATGAGAGTATAGGAGACCCATCAGCTCAGTGGTGTCCACTGTTTGTCCGCTGGGAAGCAAGGCCTGTACTTGGGATAGCTGCCTCTGCAGTCTCAGTCACAGAGCAAGAAGGATCCTGCTTGGACTAGCTGCTGCCCCACTGCAGCTCTGGGGGGCCATCCTGGGCTGTTTCAATCACCAAGTATGGAAGCTTTGCTTGGGGTGACCATTGCCACCTCAGCTGAGCAAGGAGACCCATGCTTGGGGTAAGAGGGAGTGCAGCATGGTTGAATATTTGCCACTCTCAGTCTCTGGAGAAGACCAAAACTGTCCCAGCTCACTTGTCCCCTCTTGCCCAGGAAGCCTCAATCTGGATGTTCTGGCTTCAGCTCCCCCTCCACTCACCAATTTCAGAGTTTCAGATCCTATGCCCCTCAAATACATTGTGTGTGGTTACTGCCATCTTGGACTGCCCAAGTCTTAATCTTTAAACAGTCTTATCTGTTGAACATGGAAAATCAACTGGTTTTACTCTTGACTGTTTTTTCTTTTTTGATACTCCTTATTGAACCTGGGACACAGAGTTAGCAAAATGTAACTAAAAAGAAAAATAAAATTAAAAAAAAAAGAACCTAGAGCCTTACATATGTTAGGGCTGTCACTAAGATATGCTTACATTTTAAATTACTGTGTCTAGTAGCATTATCTTCTACATAGAAAGGTTGCCAATGATGCTAAAGATGTGATTATTTTATACTGTATGAGCTTGGGAAACAAATGCTTTAAAAATGGCTCTGGTTGATGACAACAGTCCCTTACAATAATGTTCACTTCTTTTTATGATCCCTACTATGCACCTTCTACTGAAGAATGCAGGAACAATGTTTTAATAAATTATTTTCAGAAAGGTCAATAAAGCATTTGATTCTTTTCTGTTTTGGTAGTCCTCGTGCTACCAGAATTTAAAAGGGCTTACATATTTTTAAGTAAATTTACCTTTTCTGTGCATTGTCCTATGCTTCTGAAACAGTTTTCAAGCTGTTACCTTTAGAGATGGGTTAGTATTGATTTGTGTGGGTTGTGATTAAAATTTCTGATGTGAGAAAACTGAATATTTACTTTTTCATATATGATACATCAGAGAGTTTCATACATGGGAAAATAAGTATTATTTCTAGAAACTTTTGTTGGACATATGCATGTGGATATGTGCGTAGACATGCTAGGTCTTATAAATTGTGTGTCTGTGATGAAAAATCAACAGAAAAGCTCTGCTGTTTTCTGCTCCAGGGCATTTCATCTTCTGTGTTTGAATAAAAACGTGCATTCACATAGATGCATTTATTTTTAGCTTAACTCTAATAACATGGTACGTTTTCTTTGACAGCTTGATATTCCTTTGTATTCTCCCCGTGGATATTTTCCACGATTCAAAAAAATTCAATAGCAATTATTCGACATCAAAATGTCATTATCGCTGCTCATCTTTCTAATTTTGTTTGAAGAGTCTCCGCTTTCATAGTATTTACATTCCATCAGCTCTTTCTTCCAGTTCCCAGTGCTTTCCTTTCTAAGTGTCATTTTTTGCCTACTGTTCAAGAATGGGTCAAGCTTAGAATGAAAGGAGTTTATTTAGGATTTATTCTAATTGACAATAAATGGCCTGGGGATTTATGTGCCGCAGCTGTCCCTTATTAGATCATAGTTCAGGTCATCAAATTAAAATAAGCTGTCCTAAATTCTGTACTGTACAAGAAAAGAAAGGAAACCCATTAGGCCCTCTCAGAAAGCCCTTTAGAGTGAATTATGTTGACAGCCTGTGTATAGAATGGTCCAGATGACAGCAATGTTACATCGCCTGTCACTGCCACTCATTCTCATGCATCCTGCTTTGGGCAGGGGCACAACTGAGGTGCATAATGGCCTGGCTGTCAGCTTTGGGTCAGAAGGTCAAGGTGCATGGGGTGAGGTTCTCGCCAAGCTTTCAGTATGCTGTTCTGAGGCTTCCATTCCCAAAGTCTGGGTGTTACGAATTATGGAATGCTACAGATTTGTGTTATTCTCAGAGATTTCCATCACTGTCTACTTGAAAACTATTTTACTTATACAGAATGTTCTAGAAGTTAAGTCCTTGGGAAATATATCCAACCCTTTTCTTTTGGAGAAATGCTGTCAGGCCATGGCGAACAAGTGAGGGTTCTAAGAATGAAAACCAAATTTTTGGCTGTTATATTCTTTACTACTTTTACAGTTGTCAATAAAAATAAAGGTAATGTAAATATACGTAATAATTTAAATATAAGTTTGTTGTGATATACCTCTAAACTAAAGTAAAGAACACCATCTCCAGTGTTCTTTCTAACTGCTAGTGTCAAACGGAGCAAAATCTTAGAGACAAAGCCCATGTGGGTTCAGGCAGCGGGAGAGAGTTAAAAAAAATATGCTCAGGTTTTTTCAGTTGGGCTAAAAAGTATGAGAACAATCAAAAGCAAGACTTTGAGGTTAAGTCTGGAACCATGTTAGTATGCCACCAAAGCAACTCTCAGCAGAGCAGGTGTGTCAAAAGAGTTGGACAGTTCTCTGGATGTGAACTACTTGCAAGGAGAGGTGAACACGGTGACCCTGTCTAGGTGTTCTTGCCATGGCCCAAAAGCTTCCATTTAATGCATCTAACATTGTTTTGGAGAAAGTCCTTGTCTTTGATTGTAGTCCAATCCAATGATGGCATAGACTCTTATGACCTTGCTAACTGGGGCTGTTTAGTAGCCCAAAACTATTTCTCATTTGCTCGGGGTAAACTGTGCTGTCACTGACAGAGGGCTATGAAATTACAGTATACGTGCAAAAATATATACATATATGCATAATTACATGCATAGTAGTTTGGGGGACTACTACTATTAATAAATATTAATATCATGGTTATTTGCCTTTAATTTAAATTTATCAGTAATTATTATACAAGGGAATGAACTTCATGATTATGTTCTTTTGAATAACTCAAATTAGCTCACTCATCTAAACCAACATTTTGGAGAAAAATTGCAGGTATTATCTCTTACGATGTACAATGAGAAGACAAAAATGAATATAACTTTTTCAAATTGGAAATAATGTGTTTCAGATGTTGGGTTTCACAGTGTGTGAACTTGATGTGGAAACGGATCAGAAAGATGGAAGATGTGTGTGTGTGTGTGTGTGTGTGTGTGTGTGTGTGTTCTATTGTGCCCCTGTGTCCATGTACTGAGGTGTAGAAACCTGGGAAGACATTATGTATTCTGTCTATGACTCCCCAGACACTGGATCACTAACTCTAATTAAATACAGAGTGTGGGTGGTGAGCATAGAACTGCAGGGATGCCCTCTTCTCTTCTCCCCATCCCTATCTAACCTCAGTGCTGGGCTGAACAAAATGACTTACTTCTTATGTGGATACTGGCATCTGCACTCGGCATTCAATCTTGCACGTCAAGTATTCTTACACATTTTCAAATTATTATTATTTACTATAATTTATTAACTTTGTGTTCCAGCTGTGCCCCCTCCCTTGTCTCCTCCCAATCCCACCCTCCCTCCCTCTTCTCCCCCTATGCTCCTCCTCTTGTCCACTGATAGTGAACGACCTCCTCCCCTTCTATCTGACTCTAGTCTATCACGTTTCATCAAGACTAGCTGCATTGTCCTCTGTGGCCTGGCAGGGCTGCTCCCCCCTCAGTGGGGGGTGATCAAAGAGCCAGCCCCTGAGTTCATGTCAGAGACAGTCCCTGTTCCCATTACTAGGGCACCCATTTGGAGACTGAGTCTCCGGGCTACATCAGAGCAGGGGTTTTAGGTCCTCTCCACGCATGGCCCTTGGTTGTGGTATCAATCTCTGAAGGATCCCAGGGTCCATTTTTTTTTTTTTTGCTCTGTTGGCCTTCTTCTGGAGCTCCTTTCCCCTCCAGGTCTTTCTATCTTATACACATATTTACAACATATATATTATTTTTTTATTTGAGTATGTACCAGGCCTGCTTGGTGTTTCAACTCATGAAAAAAGTAAAAAACAAAAACAAAAAAAACCTACATTTATATTGACTCATCATGGTCATTTTCTAAAACAATAAACATAACAAAATCTTAGAACATATTACTAATTAGCCAGCCCTATTGTGAAGTGATTTAAGCCTACTAAAATACAACTTGAGGATATCTTGAATATAAATTTGCTTTAATTTTTATTTATTATTGTTTTTTTTTTACAATTTATTCACTTTGTTTTCCAGTTGTAGACCCCCTCTTCATCTCTTCGCATCCCCACCTTTCCTTTTTCATTACCCCCATCCTTCTCCACTAGTCCAGTGATAGCAGAAGTCATCCTACCCTACTATCTGACCCTAGCCTAGTAAGGCCACCCCAGAAGTGGTAGATGATCAAAGAGCATGTAATCAAGTTCATATCATAGACTACTTCTGCTCCCCTTACTAAGGAGCCCCCATGGAGAATGAGCTGCCATGGACTACATCTGAGCAAGAGGTCTTGGTCCTCTCCATGCACGGTCCTTGGTTCATTCATCAGTCTCAGCAGGCCCCCCGGGCCCAGAAGTTTTGGCTCTGTTGGTTTCCCTGTGAAGCTCCTGTCCCCTCTGGGTCTTTCTACCTCTCCCTTCTTCCATAAGACTCCCTGTGCTCTGTCCAAAGTTTGGCTATGAGTCTGGGCATCTGCTTCAATCCTCTTCTGGGTGGAGTCTTTCAGAAGACATCTGTGGTGAGTCTCATTCCTGTTCCCTCTCTTCTACCTCTTCTGGTGTTTATTCTGTTTGACTTCTGAATAACTAAACATCTTCCTTAGGATCCTCCTTGTTGTTTAGCTACTTTAAGTCTGTAGATTTTAGTATGTTTATTCTGTAATATGTGGCGAATATCTACTTATAAGTGAGTATATACCATGCATGTCTTTGTGTTTCTGGGTCACCTGACTCAGGATGATCTTTTCTATAAAATATGGAACACTTCATGAATTTTCTTGTCAGACTTGCACAGGAGCCATGCTAATCTTCTCTGTGTCATTCCAATTTTAGTATATATGCTACTGAAGCAAGCACTGCTTTAATTTTTTTTAATTTTCAGAAGACTGTTTAATTTATCCAACAGAGAAACCATATATTATCCCTTTACAAACAACAACAACAAAGCTACAGAATGGAACTGGCATACAGAGTGCCATGAATTCTTGTTGACATAAATGTATCTGATACAATTTAACTGAATTTATTATACTTGTTACACAGCCTAAAGTGTTACTTAATCCTATAACTAATTGTTGCAAACATAATACTTTAGATCTTGTTTCACATGTATTGGGTTTCAGTTTTTTTCATTTTCAAAATTTGAAAAACTCCTTCTGTTACTATTGATTTTATTGGAGGGTAGGGATAGACTACCCATGTTTGAACTTCTGCCCATGTTTGAATTTCTCCACAATGCCAAGAGGTGTGGCTAATAGATTGTTGGTAAGGATTTGAGATTTAGCAACACTTATAAAAATAAGAGTTAGGGGAGGTTCTCCTCTCCTTTCTGATCTTAGTCTATCAGTTCTCATCAAAAGTGGCTGCATTGTCCTCTACTGTGGCCTGGTAAGGCTGCTCCCCGCTTGCATGCAGAAATGGGAGGGAAGGTGGGATCGGGAGGGGAGGAGGGAGGATCTTATGGGGGGATACAAAATGAATAAAGTGTAATTAATAAAAAATTAAAAAAAATAAGAGTTAGTTCAGAGCAAAGCACAGCTCAATTTTTTTAGTGCAGATTTTATCATTGGGGGTCAGAAAAGCCTCTGTCTTGTTGTCTATTGTCTTCTTTTTTATGGTACAAACATGTCATGTATTTTACCTTATAGTGGGGGAAAGCTTCTCATAGGACTTTTAAGCATGAGAACAGATTCTTTATGATACTTATAAGAGAAAATTACAGAATCTATTAACTGAAATCCCAACTAAACTAACAGTAAATGCATGTGTCGTCAAGATACCTACTTTGTTTGCTAATTTCCTCAGATATATGTTAATAGAATAGAAATTACAGGTGATGAGAGAGAAAAGCATCAATTTTCTTACTCTGCAGCATAATTGGCATGGTACGATACTGACCTCCCAGGGAAGATATGTTGGTACAATCATGGTACAACTGTTGTGGTGTAAATAACCACTTTCTGACTAAACTTAAGGCCTGTTTCAAAGGGCAGAATTTCATACTTGATACTGTAATCCTCAAAACCCCATCACTCAAAAGCTATAGTCTGCAGGGTAGAACTTGATGTTCTTATTTTGTTAAATTTCATGGTGTCAAATTGTCTTCTAAGTATTGATGCTTATACCTGTAGACCTGCTCTACTCCCAACATTGGTGAAAAAAGCTCTTCCGTTTCTCCAGTAGGCAGGAGTATGTGGACAGGCACATGTCTGGTTAATAAGAGGCTAATAACATGACTGCTGTGAATAAGGGGCTTAATGCTTAGCCTAACTGGACATCTATATTAATCCAACCTTCATGAGGGCTCGTGTAACATCGTAATAGGAGGGTAAGATCCAGATGATGGCAGAGAGTGAGTACATGGGATTCTGTCTTCTGAACATGACATGAATATCAAAACCATAAACTCATATCAACTATGGCAATCTGAGCAAGACTTATCCAAGATCAAGTCGGGCAAACTCTGCCACACATCAGTGATGCTCTCAACATGTGGCTCTGTATGGTTCTTGTTTCACTCTGCAATGATTTTGTGTGCTGGATTTTAGTGCTACTGAAAGCTTCTGATGTCTACAAAAGGATAAAACTGATGACTGGCCTCTACTTTTAACTGCTGCCATAGTCTATGGTACCCACAGTATGGTTTAATTTTAGTCTAAGAAATTCATACTCTTCCCTTCACTGTGCATAAAGGTCTTTTATTTTCTCTATCCCTTTTGGGTACTTTCTTCATTTTCCTTAAATTTTAATAAATGTTTATTTAATTAAATTTTAGACCCAGTTTTTATGGTAGCATATGTAGCATATTACTAGATTAGGTTCACTTAATACTCATGTCCTATATTTGACATGACATTTTAAGTGAATTAAAAAAAACTGAATCCAAGAACACATTAAAAAGATCATCCACTGAGTCTATGGGCTATATCTTAGCTGAGGTTTTAGGTCCTCTCCATACACTCTCCTTGGTACCCCATAGACTCAGTGTCCAGGTGGGTTCAGTAATAATGAGAACAGAGGCTGTCACTGTCGAGCAACTCAGTGGCTGGCTCTTTGATCACCTCCCACTGGTGGTGCAGCCTTTCTAGTTCACGAAGGAAGACAATTTAACCAGCCCTGATGAGACCTGATGGGCTAAGGTCAGACAGAAGGGGAGGAGGACCTCTCCTATCAGTGGACTAGGGAAAGGGCATAGGGGAAGAAGAGGGAGGGAAGGTGGGATTGGGAGGAGACCAGGGAGGGGCCACAACCAGGATACAAATTGAAAACTTTGTAATAAATGATAATAATAAAAAATCTTAATAAAATAATGAATAAAATAAACAATTGGTTGTAGTTTGAATAAGTATTGCCCTAATGTGTAAGATCCTAGGTACCACACCCAAAATACTGGTTGCCTAGAAATGCTTGTCGTCTCTAATGTTACCTTAAATAAAGCAATGTAAACAATAACATTAATAACTTAATTCTAAAAATAAAGTCTACTATAGTAGTAGACTTTGCTGCTTTACTATACTGTACTGCTACTATACTATACTGTACTGCTATTCATTTTTTCTCTTTTTTTTAATTTTATTTTTTCTTATCAGTTACATTTTATTAACTCTGTATCCCAGCTGTATCCCGCTCCCTCATTCCCTCCCAATCCCACCCTCTTCCTCATCTCCACCCTGCCCCTTTCCAAGTCCACTGATAGGGGGGGACCTCCTCCCCATTCATCTGATCCTGTTTTATCAGGTATCTTCAGGGCAGGGAATCATATGAAAGAAGGGGAGTTAGTATGATGGGGAAAGGACAGGAGTCCCACAAGGACCAAATATATCTGGGCACAGGGTCTTTTCTGAGACTGACATTCAACCAAGGACCATGTATAGATATAACCTAGAACCTCTGCTCGGATATAGCCCGTGGTAGCTCAGTAACCAATTGTTTCCCATAGTAAGGGGAACAAAGACTATTTCTAACAGGAACTTAATGGCTGACTCTTTGACCTCCCCACCCCCCCAAGGGAGGAGCAGTCCTGTATTGCTATTCTTTATAGTGAATATACAGAAAGGACAAAAATTAACCAACAAATCCTGAGAATGTCTTTTATAGCTACCTCATCTGAAAAACTGTTACAAATCAGAAAATTCACAGGAGAAGAAGTACCACTATCAAAGATACAAAGTTTCTGAAAATAAGTTCATAAAATAGTACAGATTTCACCTTTATTTTCCTACTTTAAAGAAAGGTAAAGCAACAGCTGGTCCCCTCTCAATTTCACCCTCCCTCTTCTCCTCCCATGCCCCTCCCACAGTCTTCTGATATGGAAGGGAGGGAGCTACACCTGAGATACAAAGTGAATAAATTGTAATAAATAAAAAATAAATAAAAGGAAAAAATAAAAAAGAAATATTTTCTATTTTACAGTTTTATTTACTATGTACTTAGAATGTATGATCATTTCTATGAGAGCCTGAGGTAGTAGGGCTTATATATAATTCCAAGATATGTAATGCTTTCATGCACTATTTAATTGGCAATGGATTATTATTCATCATTAATTCAATTCACTCTTACATTAGTCAGTGGATACAGAAAATTAAATATACAGTGCATGTAATTCGCGTTTTGAGTAATAATATCTCACACTGATATTTCAAGTAATGTTGATTTTTATACCTATACAATTTTTGTGCTTCGACATTAAGTGTTATAAATTGATTTCTAGATATCAGAGATTTGTAAACCTCACTATGACTTCAATATTTCAAAGAAATTTAAGTGAATTCTTCAATTTATTGTTTACATATTTGTCCTTATAACATTAAAAGGAATCAAAAGGAGAAACTTAATTAATTAAATATATTTGAATCAAACATTTTAAAATGGTTTAAATGTAAATAAAATAAAAAAAGTGAGGAAAGCCTTAAAAAAGAAAGATTGCTTGTGATTTACAGTACTTACAGATTACTCTCTAAGCCCTCACATCAGGTGGATCATTACAACCTTAAACCAGTTCTAGGGCATCTGAAGCTCTCATCTTGCTTCTGAAGGCTTCTGTACACACATGATGTACATGAGAGCAGGAATGTTCACACACACACACAAATACAAAGAACATGTCTGTAAGAGTGATTCTCTTGAAGTGAACCATTTCAAAAAGTAGAGTATAGAATATATTGCATACAGTTTTGATTACAGAAGGATATACCATACTTTGACCATTTTGCAAATAAATGAATAAAATTAGATTTTATTGTATAATATTGTTTTGAAAAGATCACCATCTTAGCTGAGTGTAATTGAATTTTTAAAAATTCTAACAGTCCTTATTGTACGAGAGACAGTGGTATTTGTTACTGCTAATATACGAATAAACAAGATCCAGGGGCTGCATTTCAAGAAACTCAAATTCACTAACACTTGCTGTTAAATTTGCATAACTGTAACATAAGGACATGTGGATAAATAATTTACTGGGGGAAAGTGGGCATAATAATGTAATTTGCATTGAGGAATTTGAACTACTTCAGCACAGAAAGCATTATCTATCTGGATGGGATGGGCTGAGACAGGCTAATGGAATTTGTAATGGATAGCAATAGTAACTCACTGAAACTTCTGTGTAAATGGTTTTTATTTACTGGATGATAAATAAGGCAAACAGAAACATCTCCAGATGTTTCAAGTGGAACTTCATTTATTCCTCTGAATAATTGGTTCAGGGCATCAGACCACTGAAGGGAGCAAACTTCAGAAGACCATCACGAATTCTGCATGTCATGAGCAACAGTAGAGAACAGAAATGTTGCGTTGTCTAAGAACAACTTTTCTCTGTAGACCCGATTGCTTGCTGTGTTAAGGAGGGTGTA